ATTTAGCTTATTTAGAGAATGTAGCAGTATGAGACTGAGTAAGGAAATCAGTACAGCTTTTACAGTTAAAGTTTTACGTATCTATCACACAGCAATGAGCGGCAAAAGTTTAAGAACAACCTAACAACTGCTTGCTGCTGCTGGACAGCTGTAGCAACAGAGTATATGAGTGCTCCTCAGCCAGTGCAAAATTAAGTGGGTTTATTTTTCACTGTCATGGAAAAGTGGCTTGGGCTAAGCTGCTGAATTTTGCACTAAGTGGTTGAACAATGCACGTCAATGAAGTAACCTCAAACAACATGGCAGTAACATAGAGCCGTGGGACGGTATCATCTTAAACTACTGCGGATGCTTGCTAGGCAGGATGTACATCTAATCCCTAAAATCTATATTCACTTAATGAAGACAAGGATGGATGATAGCCTTTGTCTGAGTAGCAGTTCCTACAGTTTCCAGTAATTCCTACACTATATTTTAGCTCAAAATATTTTGAAAATAGGATCTTTGCATATTAGCTCAATTTTTAATTTCCATTTTTAAAGGAGGGTTATTTTTTGAAATTGCATTATTTGTATCTTTGCCCATGCTGTTAAGTTAGTGTTCATACACACTTCCAGAAAAGATATAGCCACTCTAGAATGAGGATTTTAAGTGCTCTGAAATGTGTTTTCTTTGACAGCTTATGTGTAGGGGTTTTTTTGTAGGCAAGAGTAAAGTGATGCATTGATTAGAAGGATTTGTTTAAAAGTATAATAGAAGATGAAAAAGGTAAGGAAGAAATGTTTTAAGTAGAAACCCAGTCTGAAGAGTTTTTTCTGATCACACCGGTATAAGGAGTTAATGGCTTCTAACATAGTCACAAGACAACTACTGAGGAATTATTCTTTATCACTCATTCTTTTAGAAAATATCCTGACCCTTTTTATTTAAAAAAAAAAAAAAAAAAGGCATGGCAAAAAGGAAGAGGATCCAACTAGTGTATGTGACCCAACCTCAAGGTTCTCAATAAATCATCCACAATGACATGTTTGAGTCAGGAACTGTCTCAAATAAATGTAAGACAGAAAACACAGTACTTTCCTTAAAGAGATTACAATCTTCTGCAGGTCAAGAGGACAAAATTTTGAACAGAAGCACTCAGGAATATGAAATAGTAATACCCTGTTGTAATGAGAATGTGTCAGATTGGTAATCTTCCATTTTCAAGGGCTCAGCTCTGTCTTGCAAGCTTCCCTTTGCAGTGCAATCTTCTGTCTGTTGTGTTAGAGAGCAGCAACAATTTTGTAGCAGGCGCTTGACAACTGGTGGAGTGGCAGTCTCAAAGTTATCACTGTACAATAAAGGGCCTCAGTTGAAAGATGTTCCCCTGTTACAGTGACAGATTCATCATTCATTACATCATTCATCATACTCATTTCCCCATCCTTTACAGAAAGGAACGGGGAATGCGCGTGTGGGGGGTTTTGGAGGGAAGGGAATATGGAGAGCTGAACTTCTCCTGTGAGAAGCGGGCATAGTTAGCCGTGACCACATGGACAGGAGGGGCTGTGTAGCTTAATGAAACTCATCAGTGAAGAGATCAATGCCACACAGGAGGATGCTCTTTTCAGGGCAAAGTCTGGTAACTCTCTAATATATTTTGTTCAGAGAGAGGTGTTAAAACTTCAGAAGCTTCATTACTGAGAGTCAATTATTTGCCTTCTTGCCGTGTTTCTACAGGAGGTTTGGGGCATCTGCAGAGAAGTAGGCTATGTGCAGGAGTGTCTGTGGGCAAGAGTCTGTTTCTTGGCACTGAGGCTGAATGGCACAACACAGTTTGCACCCATATGGCTAACATTTTTCCTCCAGAAAGACTGATCTCATGCATACAGCCTTTTTGAAACAGTCCTTGGATCCTGCTGTTACCTAGACACATGCTGCTAGTTGGGGTAAGCCCAGACTGCCAGATAAGGTGTTAACTAACACTTACTTACACAATACAGGCAATCACAAAGCGGTGCTGGAGCACATCCCCAACCCTGTTTAGTTTTCTAGTATAGACACAATTTTGGGGAATGCATATAGATCTTCAGGGTCACAAAACAGGGGATGCTCTGGGGGTGCAAAAGTGCCTGATCCCACTGGTTTCTGGGATGACAGAAATGGTAGCGCATTTGAGAGATCCAGGACCACAAGTTAGTTACAAGACAGACTCAGTGGGCTTTGGATGGTGGCTCAGTGGGCGGGTTCCAGGATGTCCATGGGTAATACAGGAATGTCCATCCAAGACGGGATTGACTAGGATGTTTGCATGTTTTACCATAGGTTACTTAAAGCCTGTGCAAATGTTCAAAAGACAGGGGAAAAAGCTAAGAAGAAAGACTTGACAAAGACGATAAAGAAGGCATTAAGAGTAAAGTTTAGGCATAGTGTTACTGCAGCTGTCACAGTGACACATCTTATTCACATTTACATAATGAAAGGAGCAGGTTTACTGTTGCTTATGTAATGCTCTGAAATGCGCTAAAATTGTGCTGACTGACAGCTCTTTCACTCAGAGAGTCTAATCTTCAACTACAAATGACTAATGTAAAATGGAACAAACCTAGAAGGTCATACAATTACTGTAAGGGTAGTTGGTTTTACCCTGTTTTCAAAGGATTCGAAGTTGATATACAAAATCCGCCCTCTGAGTAGTCTTTAAGATGTGAAAAGAAAGAAATGTACATGTATGTATGCATATAGACTACCTTTGAGTTTTTAATGAGTGCTTGATTGTGAGGATTCTAATCTGACAGCAATTTTCATCTTCTCTTCCTTACTTCTAGCATGAAATACTTTATCATAAAAAACAGAAAGTGTTCTTTTCAGGTATATTCACAGTAACAGTAGGAAAATGCATTGTGTTTTTTACAATGGCGTTTCAGACTTCATAAAGCAACTGTATTGAGTTTTATGCATACTCTCAGAATCTAAATAAGTTTATTCAGTAGTAATCACCAGTAAAAGGAATAGCACTCTCTTGAGATGTGAAGACATTGATTGTAAATCTTAGTTTTGTAGTAGTTCACTGCAGGAACTAGGAATATCAGGCTTGGTGTATTATTTTTATTTAATTGCTTGGAAGTATCCAGTATCTTTCAAGTAAAGCACAAATAACTTGAGCTAGCAGCAATGGCTTTTGCTTAGGTGAACTCAAGACTTGGTCTCTCCACCCTGCGAGATGTGAAGGTGATTGATTGCACAAGCCCCGATGCTGACAGAGGGTAGAAACACTAGGCAGAGAGTGCAGAGAAGAGAGAAACTGCCCCTTTCAGTGTCAGCATGGAGTTAGACAAGTTAAAGACAATGCTAGGACCACAAGTGACATAGGGCCAGGCACAGAGGTTGTGGGACCATGCTGCTTCCAAGCTTGGACTGTGCAAGCCTGACCTTTGCTCGGATGCTGCTCCTTGCTTCCTGGACTATGCAGGAATTTTACATCAACCATGCAGTAAATATGCTCACATAAATTTATATTCTTCCTCAATTTTTTCCATAGTCTTTCAAGCTGGATCAGAATTATTGTTAAGTCCTGGACCTTCAACCTTCCTATACTTCAGATCTTGATCTCCACAACACCTACATTAATTTTTTCCCCACTTTTCACAAGAATCTTAAATACAAAACGTGTTAAAGGCTATGAAACTTCAATTATGAAATATGTATATGGCCCCATTATTGTTAGGCAGAGAGCATAAGAGAGAGAGTTGGATGTGGGATGTGGAAGATAAAAGGCACTGAGAAAATGTCATGAAGATATATATTTAGAATATATAAAAAGCTGAAACTTGGGAGCACTCTGGAAGTTGGGGAGGGCCTGCTTGTAGGAGATTGTTACTTTCTGGGTATGTGTAAAGAACTTCACAGAATATAAAAATAATGATGACTTCCAGGACTCAAGAGCTTATAGCAAACCTGGAGCCAACTGAAGCCTTTGCCCCAGTAGGAGTAGGCCAGCTGACCCAACTGAACACAGCATAAATCCCTCTGATGCTTAAAACTGCAGGCATTTTTCTGTTGGCAGAATGCTAGAAATTGTAATCGAGATTGATTGTGCCAAATTGCAGAGACTAAAGCCTTCAGAAATGCCCAGCACAACAGGAAAGATCTTTCAAAGGTTTTAGGAAAGGGTTCAACAGACAAAATCATAACTCTTCACAAAAATCTTTGTGCTAGAAGGTAGAAAGTTATTATTTACAAAATTCTTATGGGCAGTAAAAATAAGATAAATTATCTCAACAAGGGCACTTCCTGTCTTCTGAAAAGTTTAATAACTAGATGTAATCTCTATTCCCCTCATTGGTCGTTAATTTCCAGAAAGTGCCCTGTGCATCCCATAATGACTTCTCAAATAAAAATAACTAAGTAACATAAAACAAGTAAGTCTTAAACCAAAAATGTAACTAAAACTGTTATTAAAAATAGCAGTCACATGCACAGTAAATAGATGCAACATGTACTAGGTGGCATCTATTAACTGCCTTCTTGATTGATTTGCCTCATTTTCTCAGACACAGCTGACAATTAAATAAATACATTTCTGGATAACGGTCTCCTATAATAATGTTGCTGGTTAACCTGCTGAATGACTTCTGCCATTCAAATCATAGGTGTTTCTTGAGTGCATACTGCCAATATTCATGGTAATAGGTTTTACATCTATTCTGTAGATAGCTGTCCTTCAAGAATCGGAATTAGATAAATTAATTTTAATGAAGAACTTCTGAAAAGGGTCATTCAAAATACCTACAATCTGGACATTGAGTGTTCATGCTGACATTTTCTTATTGTGGTACTGAAGTAAGGTATCTATGTTTACACATCAGAAATAAATATGTAAGCTGATTGCCAGCTGTTGAAATCAAATGAATTACGTTTCTGACAATCAGGCTGCGTCCATTTTTATGTAATTTGGCCCTGCAGATTTGAAAACGTTGGCCAAAATTTTACATCATGCTAACAATGATTTGATATGCAAGGACACAAAATCGGTTTTAATGCTTTGGGGTTTTTTTCTCCATTTGAACGTGCCTTGGGCCCTCCATGGGCGTGTGTGTACAGATAATGGCGAGGAACCCGGGAATGGCCTCAGCCAAGGCCTCCGCGCTGCTCCTTGGAGCAGCCCCAGGCCCTGGTTCCGTCTGCTGCAGCCGGCTCTGCCCTCGGCGCAGCTGCGGTGGCAGGTCCTGAGCAGCGTGGACATGAACCTACCGTCATGTCTGGCCATCTTAATTCAGCAACGTAGAGGTAACCTCTGTTTCCAGTTCTCCTTGTACCTACTTGCAGTCAGGGTCTGGCAAGGACGCCAGCCTCTCTCCCTGGTTATCAGAGGGGCCCGACGCAAGGGCGTGAGACCCTCCTCAGCCTTCACAGCGGTTCCCCAGCAGCTTCTTTAGTTGTTCTCAGTTTCATAACCTGTAATTGCTTCAGCAGCAGTTTGTTTGAAAGGCACTTGCTTGCTTGCTTCTCGCTCCTTTCTGGCTGCCTTGTACTGCCGCCCTGGAGCAGAGGTTTCTCTGCCCGAGGCCCAAAGCAGGGTGCTGGGACGCAGCGCAGCAGGGGCTCTGTGGTGGCTCATCGTGCGCCAGGGGCTGGGGTCAATGGGTGAACTAGTGCAGGAGGGTCTCTCCCCTTCACACCGTCTTCTCCCACCAGAAGATTATGCCTTTCTGTTGTAGTTTGTGATTAATGCCCCATCAACTGCAGTGCCTAAACTCTTCATGTGACTGCTGCTCAGGGAGGCAGATACCTCTGCCCTGGATAAGGGGAAAGGAAACAAGAATTATAATTCTTAGAGTTTGTATTTACTACTGGTTTTAAATAGTCAACTCTCTGTCTGAGGTTTGAACTTATGCTAGAAAGGTCTGAGGTGAATATTTTGATCTTTGCAGGGTTCAGGGAGGCTCAGGGAGGGCTCGGCGGATTGCTTGTCGACGCTTTGGAGCTGCGCTCCGAGCTACTTGCTTTGTTCCGAGGGGAGCGGGCATTGATGCTTACGGCTTGCGACAGCAGTTAGACACGGTCATTTTTTCAGTGAATATAGGCTTTAACATAGTTTAGGGATTTTTCTCCTTTATGGTTTTTTCTAGAAGACTTTGGTATGTGAAAATGAAATGGATAAAATATTTGAATCCAAATGTAGTGAGGGAGGACTGACCCTTCTTACCTTCCCCCTCTACTCCCCATATCCCTTTGATTTTAAAAAGAGACCTGTCCTGTTTTTTTTCCACCTCGTTTTACCAGCTAGTCCACTGTGAGGCTGGCCTACCATCACTTTGAAGGAATATTGCATATCATATCCAGCTACTTTGCTTTTATGTAACTAGGTAGGACACAAATTACAACATTTGTGAGACAGGTACAAAGAGTTTTGCTTTATTTTGGAGTCCTGTTTCATGGTTGCTTAGCAGATAGGGTATATTTGTAGGCAACGGAGAGAACAAAGTAGCCTGTGAAAATGTACATTATGTTCATATTTGTAAGGTGTATGACTGCATGCTTCTATTGCCATGATACACAGAAATGTATTTATGGTTAGATTTGCAGTTTGGAGCTACGGATACCATAATAGGAATGGTATGTCAAGATTTCACTGCTCTGTGGATTATAGTACAATAAAGCAGTTAATCCATCTCCCCTGTGATGGCTCTAATTTTTCATTCAACTGTGGCATTCCGTACCACGCTGCTTATCTTGTACTTTCATTTAGTCATAGATCTGATAGTTGTGAGATTGGCAGATGGTTTGTGATGCTTTGCTAGGAGTGGTTGTATCAATCCCAATGATTAAAAGGCTTGCTGATTTGCTTACCCGAAAGGATTAATGGCAGGCAGCAAGGGCTTTGTTTGAAAAATCCATGCCCCATAATTCAACAAGGAGACAAAAATGTGGACTGGAAATAATCCAGTATTAGAACTGCTTTATGGAGAAGCTTTTCACGAAACTTCCTGATTCAGCAACTGGACATTTCCTGGTGAAGTCTGTACTAGCAAATAAAATGCAGCTTCACACTGTTTTCTCAGCTATTCCATGAGAATAAAGTTAAAGACTTTGAGCAAGTGGGCAGTAGAACTGAATGAACTGCCCTGGATATCCTGCTTCTGTATAAAATCAGACATGCAAAGTACAGAAGTGTGACCTTGACCCACCTATTCTTACCAACGTAATTTGAGCATGCATAAATTGCCATTTTTCCTGTGGTATAGTCATACTCTCAGGCAGATCAGACTACGAGCACTGTCTTTCCTGCAGCTCAGGCTGCTCTAAGTTATTGTGATGGTTTCCTAGGGAATCATTGCAAGTAGTCTACTGTAATGTTACACTATTAAATGTAAAGTTAAATTACAGGGGCACAACTTCTAGCCTAGTGAAGAGCAAACTCCTCTGGGAGTTCAGGATGCTGGGTGCTGCCTCTGTTGGCCCCTGCGCTAGCATTACTGCATGCCCTGAAGAGGTATGCGTGGCTTTGGCTGCCTAGGGTGAGCTTTCCATTTCAGGCAACGCAGGCTGAGTTAGTCAGTTTGGAGTGAGTGATATATTCTAAGTCTGTCTACTGAATTTGCTCTTTTGGGAATTTAGGTGGAGTTGGGTACACCAGAGCTTAGGTGAGAGAGAGGTGCCTGTCTCCACAGACCAGGGTGCTTCTCCAAATGCAAAGGAATCTGTTTTATGCCTAGGAAATTAAAATGGAGGTATTTTTTAACTTTACATTTCTGAAAATGGAGAGTGGTTCCTAAGAGTAAACAGTCTAAGGCTCCTGTGTTGGGATTTAAATGAACTGCAGGCAATCTGTATACGGTGTCACACAGTCACCGTGCTGCCATCACTCCTGCCTATTGTCCTTTCTTAAAAAGAAACTCCATCCTTTGTATTTTTTGCATCATTACGTTATCATGATTTTGGCATAGAAGGAGTATGACTCACCACAGCTATATGCAATACACTTGGACAGTTAAGCTTCCTCTGCCCAGTTACTAACCAGAACACTTCAAGGACACAGGAATCTGCTGCTAATAGACTATTTGCATATTTTTCCTTTCACTAGTACCCATTCCTTAAAACACAGAATGCTCTTTAGATCTCTTGCAGTTGTCTTCCATACATCCAGATACTTTCATCTTTCCTGCTCAGATTATTTTACATAATTTTATTTCATTCTAGATAATGTTCAAAACGTGCTTAGATACTGTTCAGAAATCACTGTAGACCTCAGTCCCTGAGAGAGAGCCCCTTATTTAGGGTGTATTTTCAGTCACTTTTGCTTACTGAAGAATATGCTTCTTCACAGGCCCTTCCTGGGTTTTCCAAAGCATGAGCAGAATTATGTAAAGCTCCAGTCTCCAGTTCTGCTGTCACATAATATTTGCAATGATATCAGCTTGGTTACTCTGTGTTGGCTACGGAATCTGAAACCCAGCTGGGAAACCTGTCTTACAGACCAAGGATAAACTTGTCAAATGTGCCCAACTTCCCTCGGATCCTATCTGCCAAAGGGAAAAAACACTTAGGATTCTAAATTTCATTCAGAGCACTCCTCTGAAGCGAAACATACCTTTCTACATTCTTTTGCGTTCTTTGCTTTGCTAGACTTAAATCCTGGGATTTTAAATGTGCATATTTTCCACATTGTCTCAGCATACTCTGGAGACACTGTTTGTAAGCTGTTTTTAATTATATTTGTGTTAAAGTGAGACTGCTTTATCCTAGTTGAGCAGCTAGAGATATGTTGAATACTTTTAATGGCTGTCCCTCACTGCTATAGTTGTATGTGTGGTTATTTATGATCTTTTTCCAAGTTAAAAAAAAAAAAAAAAAGACAACCAAAATTAGCTTCCAGCAATATAGGTCTGACACTGATGTGATTCTGATCCTGTAGGAGGGCATTAAACTACTGACCCCAGAAACACCTGACGAGTGAATGAACATAAGATGCCCACTTATCTAAGCTTAGTAGTAAAGGATAGCTTCACCGATCAAATAACTTTCCTTTCAATTAATTCCTCCATATGTGAGTGGGGCACTTTTTACTAGACATTTACTGTAGAATATTCTGTAGAAATAGTGTTTCTAATACTGTAGAAAAGAATATTCTTTCCATATTCTCAGCGTCTGGAAAAGGTGCTCAAACCACCCAATTTTTTTCTTCTCTGGAAGGACCTAATATATTCCAGTATTTTGTTAACCTTCTGTGAAAGTTATTTGTCCAGTATGAACAACTTACGTTATATAAGTATATTCCTTTGTCAAAGAGTATCTGATTAGGCCTGGCATAGGTGAACTTCTGTATTTCTCTGATTATGCGCATGTGCCTATGCCAGTGCAATAGAGTGGTTTTCGGAAAAAGAATCGGAGTATGTTAAACTGTATATCGTGGAAGAGACTTGTCGTTTTTCTTTACAGACATGTCACGTCACATGGTTTGACTGTTTTATAAATAAATCATTTTAAAAATACAATAATTGCTGCAGTGATCTGAAATGCAGTGTTAATGTATCTCCACTTCATAGGTAATATATTTGCAATCTAAAGCCGCTGTTACCACAGGTAGCTTCAACCTTACGGTGACTGGCTTCTGTCGGTGCTTTTCTCACAACAGAAAGACACACAAAGACACATACACACCAAAATAATACTGAATCTTTCCACTGGGAAAATTAATACAGTTTCATTGTAATTCAGGTTAAAGAACAGTTCATTTTGTAATTTCAGAGCTGATAGATTTTTGATCAATTTAATGATTTTATGTGCCTGCTTTAAAAAAGTAAGATAGAATTCACTCTGTGGAGACTTCTTCCTATTCCTTTATGCTGGACATAAAATTGATTAGGACAAGAGTAAGCTTATTCTGCTTTGCAAATCCTAGTAGTAACATAGGATTTGGACATTAATTACATAATTTTCAAGTTTTTTTTTAAAGGAAAAATGTTATTCTTTTCCCTCATCAGGTTTCCCCCTGATGAGGACCTGCAGACTAAACTCTAAATGAGGCATGTCCCTGATTGTAGAGATTGTTTGTAATGTTGAGGCATATTAAAAATATCCCTTTTAAAAGTCTGATCTCCCTAATGATTCTTAAATACTTTACATGACTGTATTTTAAAATTGCATGTAGTCTGTAATTATCAGACCCCATAGCTTGGCCCATAGATTGGTATCTATTTTCATCAGGTTACTTCTATTGTATAAGACTCAACACTTCTTTACTCCTCTGTTCTGAATAAATATGTTCCCTAAAACTAAAATACTATTCCTTGGACAGAGTGATTGGAATAGAGATGAAGTTAGGTAACAGAAAAAATGGATCTTCTGTCTTGTGGGGACTAGACTGAAGAGGCAGATAGAGCAGCTGGATCTTACCCACACTGTTTTCTCTAGGATTAACATTAAGGTTTACTGT